ATAGCAACAGTTGCACATTCGGGTAATTTTCAACAGTGAAATTTTGAAAAAAAATGATCAAGTATTTATTTTTACAGATGCATAGGAATATTTCTGATCGATTGGTGATAAAATTATTGAAATTGGTCCTGGGGCAGCTGAGTTATTAACGCTCAAATTCTTTCATAATTTTGTTACATTTTCCATTTTCGGTTTTCACGAAGTGGCAAAAATAGAGCCTCGTAAAAGTTTCGTAGCTTCCGAACTTTAATTAATGAATTTGATGAAAATTGATGGAAAACTTGATGTAACATCTGAGGATTCCTTTCAAGTTAATTCGGTTGAACTCCAGATGAAATGTATGGAAAACTCGAAGGTAGTTCTGAGTATAATCCATAGGAAATTCTGAGTAGGATTCACAGAAAATTTCCAACAGGATTCTGAGGAGTATTCCAAGGTAATTCCAAAGAGAATTCCAAGTGAGTTCTTACTAAGGGATTTGTAAGGAGAACTTCAAGGGTTTTGTGTGAATAGAATTGCAAGAGAAGATGGAGATTCCCAAAAGATTTAAAAAAAGTCTATGAACATTTTGAGGATGATTCTAAAGGAAGCTTTAGAAGTAATCCAATGGAATTCTATGGAAAATTTAAAGGAATTTTCCAACAAAGTTTTGAGGTACTTAGGAGAGTTTCAAGGCTATTTTAGTAATAATTTTAAGAAAAACCAAAGAATACTGGAATTCTGAGGAGCATTTCATAGAATTTACAGGACTACTCTTAGAGAATTCTTAGTGGAATATAAAGGGAATTGTGAAGCTGATTCCAAGGGAATTTCAGGAAATACTTGAATACGGAAGAGAGTTTATTTCAGCAGAATTCTTTGAAAGTTCTTTGGTAATAAATTTTGAGATGATTCTAAGGAAATTCTTGAGAAAATCCTAAAGAAATCCTGTGAAGAACTCCAAGAGTATCAAGTTGATTCATACATGGAAGTTTTGTCGACATCATAGAAGACAAATCAAGGTAAAACAAAATCTGTGACTTCGAATCTCATGCTTAGAAAAGTTCTCTTGATTTTGGATTTAGAAAAAATCAAATCTTCAAGATTAGGGGATTTGGTTTTTGACGTTCAGGGCTTATACAATGTGAGTCCTCAGGTCAATATTCCGGGCTTGGAAAAAATTTCAAGTTTCCGGTTCATGAAAAGTTTTCAAGATTCAAAACTAACCGAGTAGGGGAAATGTTGGCTTCGGCAATACCTTAACCTATTATCGTCAGGGGGTAAACAACGTCTTTGAGAGCTCAATTTTGCCATGTGGATACGTTGTGTTTCAGAGCATCTATTGGCCAAATTTGAGTGCTCTAGGACTTTGTTTACCTCCTGACGATAATAGGTTAAGGTATTGCCGAAGTCAACATTTCCCCTATTCGTATAGCATATTTTTTAAAGTGTTTTCATTGGTTTATTATTATCTCTATTTAGGAGATTTTCAGCCGCAGGCTGGTTCATCTCCGGGAGCCCTAGAAGGGGCTTCCCTAATTACATAGTTGAGATTTTGGAGAACCCAGAAGGGGTTCTCCTAGAGGTTGGTGGAGCTCCAGAAGGGAGTCCCCTTAGTACAGAGTATTTTTAAACAGAGTTCATTATAGTTCCTGTCTTGGTTCTTAGCGTGGTTGGCGGATCATGGTGTGAATGGCGGTGGTCGTTGTCGAAGGCAGTCAGGTAATCGTCATGTGATATCCAGGCTTACTCCAGTGGTGTCCATGTTCGAAGTGTAGTCATTTTGTATATATTGATTATATTTTATAGAACAGTCCATCATCTTTTAGGAAAACTATTAGGGCTGCTTCCGTGGACGGGTCGTTAGAGAGGGCGTTACGTATGCTGTTCGGTATTCCATAGAGGAGCCGGATGTTATGGAAGCAGGGACAGTTAACAATCAGGTGTTCGACTGTCATAATCGTGTTGCAGGAGTCGCAAAACTTCCGAAAAGAGGCAGCACTACCCATGTTGTGGGTCACTCGGGTGTGTCCGGATCGAAGCCGGGATAAGACCTGTTGTTCCCATCGGCTCGTAATGTCATTCCATTTGGAGGTGTCGCCCTTTATTTTTCTCAGGAACGGTCCCCTTTTTGCGAACCACTCCCGGGCCCAGGTGTCTCGGAGGGATGCTTTCACCCATTTTTTTACGTCCTGACTGGGTACAACTGTGGTGGCCATCCGGCCTGAGCGACCTGTGGCAGCGAGATGATCTGCTTCACAGTTGCCCCGGATACCGCAATGGCCGGGTACCCAAACAAATGAGGTGTTCGGCGGCGCGGCCTTTTGGATTTTCATTGGTTTCATTGATAAGCTGGAAAGTTTCCGTTGAAGTCCTGCTAAAATCAGGAAAAATCAGGGAATATATTAAGCACAATGAGTAGACACATAATGGATCATGTTAGAGTGACTGTATTATATTTCAAAATTTAGTGCAGTTGGTCAGAAAATACGCTTCAAAATTTCGGCTCATGTTTGAATAATGACATATTTTTTACTTTAAAAAATCTTCTCTGCAAATTTAAAGTTGTTTGGTATATAAGTTAAAAGTTACAGCTGTTTATGTGTGTGCAACGTTTATCGAATATACCTTTTAGTATAAATATTAAAAAAAATATTCAATGCTTATATTTTTTGAGAAGAAGGTTGTGCAAATCGCCCCTCAAATAAATAGACTGCTTCCAACCACGAAGATGCTGATGGTTTGCTTGGGCAAGTTTTAATTATCTGAAGTTTGTTTACGTTTGCCACGTTCTGACTACTAGGTAGTATCGAATTGTAGGGGACGACGGGGTAAGACGGCCATTCTATGTTTGAAGTAAAATTCAACCAAAACTGTTTAACATTTCTGTGATTATTGATCTTCAGAGTACTTTCTCTAATTACACCGATTTTCAGAAAATTTCCTTTTCATTTGATGATGTTTTATCACTAATGAAAAACAGACTAAATAATGAAAGAAAAAATCATGCGGGGTAAGGTTGGCCACTCCTAGGGGTAAGACGACCATGTGGAATATATCATGATCCTGGCCATATAAAAGGTTACTGTTTTTGGCAAAAGGCGGATAGAGAACAGTAGTACAGAATTTTCACACTATGCGGCACTAATGTGCAAGTCAATTTCCTGTACAAAATATATCTTGAGATCTTTACTATCTAGAATGTTTCCGTGTTCGAGAAAGTTGTTCAGGGCATCAATGCCTTCAAATTTGTGGGTTAGTTAGTTCAAAATTCGCTCAGTACGAGACACAAGTCTACGTGTGGACTTCACGTAGATGTCCTGACTTCGTAGATGGTGAGGATTTCAAGCTATAGATTATAAATACAGAAAGTTCACATGTACATTAGCGCCGCGTAGTGAGGGAATTCCTAATTTATTTGTGCACCATCACCATTTGGAATGCCTTGATCATCTTACTTATTATGCCGGTAACAGAAGCTTCTTAGAAGTCCTGAAACTAGTTTTATGAGTTGACTACTTTTACGCATGTTCCGGATTTTCTGGTGGATCCCCCACGGTCTCCATATCACGAATTCATACTGATGACAGATCTACACATGTTTTCGAAAAAAGCCTGATATATTTCATAAGCGAAATATTGTTATTTACGCATTCAGTTTCAACCAACTTAAGGTAACCGTCTTACCCCGACACATGTCAAACTGTAACAGCTTCGGTAATACCTCATAACTTAATGAGAACTGTATATTTTTCACTATATGTACATCGAACAGACATGTGTATCCCTTATAGTAACGTTACTTTTACATGATACATTATGTGATAGCTCTAAAGCAATAAATTCCGTAAACACAAATTAACAAATGCAGGCCGCCGTCATGCGCAATGTTTGTTTTTGTTGTTTTGTTTGTTTCACTTGTTATCAAGCTAGAATGTGATTTACTACACAAACCATACTATAGCAAAAAACCCTGCATCATTAGTTTTCAAGAGTTATTTGTTTCAATAATCTTAAAGGTGGCCGTTAGACTGATGCAAAATTTGAAATTTTCACTCCACAGTGTTCAAACGGTTTCAAATCGGGTCCTGATTGACCTTCGAAAGTTTAAACTTATTTGATAAGAAACTGACTTTGCACAAACCATTTGAAGTTTATATGGAAATTACTATGGGATAACAATACTTTTTGTTCATAGTCTTTTAGCCTTTTACTTATTGTACTGTTAACAAATTCTATTACCATTCATATGGGAATTTTTATCTGCTAAAACTTTGCAGAAAATTGTTTTTCAGCCAAACGTCAAATTAAATGGTTATTAATTGTTTAAGAGATTGATAATCTTATGGCAAGATTAAGCAACTGAATTGTGGGCAACACTGTATTCTGCAGTGTGACATAGTAGCCATGATTTTTGTCCTCTATTCTACGCGCCATAAACACCAATGTTGCCTGCTGAGCAGTTGGTTGAGCATAATCATAAGACATCAGTGACTTGAATCATTAATATTTTTTGTTCCTTACATTTGATCGAAAAGTAGTGTTCAACAAAGTTGTAGCTGAGAAAATTTTCAACAAGCTCAGCTATCTAAAGTAGAGTGAACTGGTGAATTTTGAGATAGATATGAACCGGAATTATGGTTTCTCCATAGTAATTCCCATATAAACTTCAAATGGTTTGTGCCAAGTTAGTTTCTCACTAAAAGAGTTCAAATTTTGGAAGGCTAATCAGGGCCCAATTTGGAACCGTTTGAGCACTGTGGAGCGAAAATTTCAAATTTTGCATCAGTCTAGTGGCCGTCTTACCCCGTCGTCCCCTACTGATTCATATGCTAGAACTTTTTTTTTTAGTTGCATGCCTTCATTTTTTTGCCGCCGCTTTCTATCCCTGCCGTAGGTATTTTTTGTAAATGTGTCTGTGTGTCTAAACCAGTAAAACGTGTGTTGTAACTGCAACCTTCCTTTAATTGTCGATATCAACATCGTGAATTCTAAACCGTTTTGTATTCCATATTCCACAGCCACCGGAATTGCCCGTTCCGTGTCTCCTGGTCAGTTGATCCGGCAAACGGCCATATCGCAACTGTCGATCACGTCACCACCCATTGCCCTGGGTTCGAACACCGCCCCCGTGGCTCCTTTACCTGAAACCTACGCAAACACTCCGCCCGGCAAGGTAAGTTAATTGGTGTTCGTTTGCATCCTGTTCTTACGATTTTCTTTTAAAATTTCCGCTGGTATGATAGTTGGAACCTATTGGAATTTTGCGCTTTTATAGTTTGGTCTGACTTATTCCCCGTTTTGATTTTGGATCAAAATTAATACCCTTATTCCGAAATAACCTACTAACTTCAGTTTTCCACCACCACCACCACCACAACCACCAAAATTCGCTGCTGTGTTGCACCCACAACTCCAATTGGCACGATTCCGAGACGATTATTTTATGTGTTTGTAATTTGTTTGTTTCATTTACCATTCATACCTAAGTGTATATCCCCCGAATATATTGTGGGTTACGGAATGAGTGCTGACTGAATGAAGGCGTTTACCATTTGTTTTATCACAAAGTGAAGGATCCATCTTGAACTGGTTCATTTTGATAGTAGAAGCGTTTTGGTTCTGTTATCAGTATTTTATATCCTGTGTTTATCTACTTTTTTTTAATTTAATTTTGGCCGGTATGCATACATTGGTTTTGAAAAGTTCTTAAAACATGTTCTGAAATTAAAGTCTTCTGTTAGGTGTGGCTCTCAAAGTTGCAAGTTGAGTTTGTTTGCCACAACTAACGCTGAGGCTTGGTTTTTTACAACACTTGCGTATTGAATCTAATGTCTTTTGTCTTTCCATTTTTTCGCATCATTAGTCTCTGAGTTTACATCATGCAAGAATGGTACTAGTATATATTATTCATCTAAACCAAGTGAATGCTTTTCTATCCGTTGTAACATCAAACCGCCGGCTATAGTGATAGCTAATTTTGTTTTCTCTGTTTTCGTTCCCAATTACCTTTCTCGAATCGATCGAATCGAAAAATTGCCGCAAAATAATCAAACCTGCAATTAAACCAAAAACTAACAATTGACCACCAAAAAAAAAAACACGCAAATAATTCGCTTCTCTAGAAAAAGGTTTCTTAATATGAGGATTGTAGCGTAAATTAAGCCTTCCTTCTAAAGCAAACAGCCAATCTTTTAAAAACCAAACAACCAAAGCAAAGAAAGAAATCATTCCATTTATTTCATTAAAAACTTCGACACCGCAAATCTCTTGTCTCTTCCACCATCTGTGAATAAAACCAAAAAAACAATGTGGATGTATGCACCAACACCTATCAACCAACCAACCAACCAACCAATAGATGGCCACCGTAAGAAAGGCATCTGCGTCCCCCGTGGGAAGTCCAGCCGGCATCGGGATCGGATCCGTAGTGGCAGGTGCGACTGCGACCATCAAGAAGACAATAATACCCCCGGTGGGTGGCCGTGGAGTGCCGCCTCCGATCCCGCCCAACAAACCGCAGATACCGCCGAAACTGTCCGCAACGTCGGCCGCGGCTGCCGTTGCTGCCGCTGCCATATCATCCCGTATACCATTTCTGAGTAATAGCAATCACAACAGCAGCAGCACCACCATCAACAATAGTAGTATCAATTTAGCCAATAGTAGTAGCGTCGGTTCATCGTTACCATCGCCATCTTCCGTGTCCTCGCCACTGCTGTCGTCATCACTATCATCGTCATCTTCCACCAACATCACCACTACCACCACCAACACCACCACAATCTCCTCTTCATCCTCTACTAGCGCTAGCAGTACTTCCGTCGCGCCCCCAGGGGTCAATGTCAGTGGATCGGTACCGCCCACAAATAATCTTATCGCATCTTCAACAGTTGCCAACAATGCCGCTGGAGCAACAGCAGCAGCAGCCGCATCACAGGCCTCAGCCGCCACCGCCGCCTCCACAGGCCCAGCAGCATCACAAAATTCTGCGGCGCCAGCCGCATCTGCATCCGTTTCAACCGCAGCAGAAATACTGACAAACATCGGTTGCGAAGGTGGGATAGTGTAAAAGTGCAAGTTGTTATCTTCGCACCATCACGCCCACTACCATTACTAGTAACACTTGTACTACCACTACCATCAACATCACTACCCATACCATGATGTAGTAGTACCCATACATTACCATATTATAGTGAATGGAGAAACGCAATCACGTGTCACACTAGTCACGCAATCCAGAACATACGTACATACATTCATACCTACACATTAATTTCACCCCATACGTTAAACGTTACTACAACTAGTGCGATGCTGATTTGGTACGGAATACCTCTATAACTACTCAATACACGGGTGCATGATTGTGTAACTATGAACAATGCATTCGTCCACGAATACATTACACTTCCACTGATCGATCACATAGCTACATTACGCACTTTGGTTGCAACAAGATCACCTACATCTGTGCACTGAATTTTACCACAGCTGCCAACGTGTTCTGGTTGATCCCTGAATTTGTTGACCATTTGGTTAATGCTCCTTCGTTTTACTGAAGCATTTTTAGTAGAGTACACGTATTGCTATATATTGCTTGGGAAATAGATAGACGCTTTTTGACGCATATTGATAAATATTGTTGTTTTTTTTTTATTGTATCAAATCTTTCTTTGGATTACGATTGGTATCAAGTTCGAATTTTTCACAATTTTCAAACGATTTACAGGGTGTCCCAGAAGGTATAAGTACAGTTTATTATTCGAGCAAAACAACGTTATGTCGATGAACTCAAATTTTTACTTTTGCGTGAAGTTGACGATTGGCATAGTTGAAGATGCTAAGCCTCAAATAACAGACTTAAAGTGGTCGATAGATGGAGGAGATGAAAGTATAGAGTTGATAGTTCCGTTAACGTACGGCAGTCTGTAAATTGTATATAGAGAGTAGAAAGCGAGCAAGGACAACTTTGAGGAAGGTACGAATCGGGTTGATCATCTCTCTTTCCCAAACTCCCCAGTTGGAGAGGGATGGTGAGGGGTGTCACCCCGCCAACACTGGCAAGTCGACGATGACAGAAGTGGTAGAGGCAACAATAGCTGTAATTTCCAAACCTACGACTAGATGCCTCCCTTCAGATAACGACTTGAGTGCCGTAAAAATCGATAGAACTGTTTCCAACACATCGTAGGTACATGAGCAAATCGGCGATCATCTGTTTTTGCCAGTGGTGGCGGGGAGGGACACCCCTCACCACCCCTCTCCAACTGGGGAACTTGGTGAAGAGATATGATCAACCTGATTCGTACCTTCCTCAAAGTTGTCCTTGCTCGCTTTCTACTCTCTATATACAATTTTCACAATGCCGTACTCTAACGGAACTATCAACTCTATACTTTCATCTCCTGCATCTATCGTATAAAATGACCACTGTTATTTGAAGCTTAGCATCTTCAACTATCAAATGTTGATTTCATATATATGTTCTCTATAGTATTCTCTTTCAACTCGATGAAAATAATCCGTAGTTCCTTTTGATGTGACGCTGCCCATGAGCTTCAGCACAGATTCTTCGATTGAATTCGCTGCCTTTATAATGTGCTTCCGTAGATATCCCTTGGAAAGGACCCAAAAAGTTTCGATTGACCGGACCTTCGAACAATTCGAAGGATTCATCTCTTTTGGCACGTATTTGCTTTGTACCAAGCTACCGTGTCTTTCGAGTAGTCCATTGACACCACCCCGGGAGCTTTTTGACAGCTCCAGTATAATGTCAATGTACTCTAAAAATTCTGGTACTCTGGTTCTGTCGAATCGAATAATGGTGGAGTAAATTTACAATTGGTCTTATTTTTGATCAACTCTTTTTTAAACGGTTTTTGAGTTTTGTTTTTGTAAGAACATTGATATTTTTCTCATAGTTTTCCAATCGACACAACATGACTGGATCGGAAAATGTCTGTCTGTGTATGTGAGAGCGCGTAACACATTTTTCTTAACCGAATTTCTCGGCAACCACTGAACCGAATTGAACGCAACAGCCATCAAATGAAAGGTACCATGATTCTATAGAATGCCCTATAATAAACACGATATCATAGATGGTACAACCATACCATATAAAGTTGGGATGATAACCCGAATTGGTGGTTAGGCGCTTCTTACGGTTATTGTTAATGCGGGTGTTAATTAATAGATTTTCAATCGAACAACTGGTCCCGGAGATATGGACGGAACAAGACCCGAAAATTTGGGATTCGGGAACTAAGTGGTGTTTGTCAGCAACCACAGAACCGAATAACCGAAACAACCAGCTAAAAAAAGGTATTTTAGTCACATTGAATGCTGTTGATCAAATTTAGAATCGGTCAACTGTTTCCGATAAACATGGATTTTTGGGGCTAAGTCGTATTTATCGGTAATAACTAATGCGAATTACAAGCAACAACCACCAAATAAAAAGTATCATGATTCCATAGCCTCGTCCGTAGAGCATTAGAGAACAGATTCGGAATCGGTCAACTGGTGCTGGAAATGTGGCAGGAACTTGTTTCGGAGAATGTGAGCCATGATACTAAATTTGACCGGTAAGGAATAAAACCTATCATGTGACAAAACAAATTACTTCAAAATATGATAATCAATTCAATTGTGGCCATTTCGAGCGCCGCGGATCACATTGGTCAGTTCCGGGCATGTCCCAGATGCTCCCGAGGAATAAACCAGACCAGAGCAAATAATGAATTTTGATTTCATCAAATCGATTAAATTCCATGATATAAGGAAAATAATGCAACCAGTGATGCAAAATATCATGATTCTCACGTGACACTCGTCTACGCATCAACCGAATATCGCTGACAGAACGTTTTGTCACGCAGTGAGAGGTAGAGCTATGGCAAACAACAATCACCACTAATGTTCGCTACTCACAAGCAAAATGTTACACTCGCTGCTGATGATGAAAAGCACAACGAAAACAGTGAAGACTTCTGCAGTACGATCATGAGAAAAAGCGAAACGACAGAAGAAAATGAAAACAATGCCTACGCATTCCAAATTTGTCTCGACAGGCGCGACTGTGTGAGTTACAAACAAAGCAGGCAACATTAAACGGAAGCTGTTGGGCTCACTCACCAACACACTCACATGAGCAAGCAAAGCAGCAACTGCTTCAAAACAAGCACAGATGAGTGTCGTGATTGTAGGGAATGACAAGATCGGCGATGGATCACAACCGAAGACGACATTCACCAGTTGCTTTTTACTTATTTCGTCAACTTGATGGGTGGTCATCGAGAGAGCTTCGACGAGCACATCGATAGGAATGTACAAAGCGTTACTACCATCAGCTGTTTGACGATCGTGATTGTGATCGGTCGCATCTCTGAATGCAACATCAGTAATACGTCTCACTCAAAAAAAATTTCTTGGCCTGTTTTCGACGTCCACATGAAGTGGAACAAAAACATGTTTTCTGATGTGAAACAAGTTGTGCCACAAACGATGGCTGGAACCCACTGTTTACGTACGGTGGAGACATCTACAATTTGTCAGTGACTACGTGAAACTGACACCAAATCGGACCAAAATAGTACTGGGCAAACATGTTGACGGATCATGGGTCGCAGACGCCGATTCAAACACTCCCGAACGTAAAACCACAGACAGACAGACGTAACTCTTTGAAAAAGTGTTTCTTGAAACCATGGTATCTCAAAACATAGGACCTCAGTAACGACATCTCTCTGACTTCTCGCGGAAAACAAGCTTGCTCGCTTACTCGCAAACAATATTGCGTAAAAGTTCTATAGAATGTTTAGAAACGTCGAAGTGATCCGATGCCAGCGCTGCGGCGAGTAGTTTTTTTTTCCTTTGGTTTGTTTTTTCCGTCCATCTTGTTTTCCGTGCTGAGCACCAATGCTACCGACGTGCCAGGAAGGCAGCTCCCACACCTGGACCCTACCTATCGACCCCATCAACTCATGAACCGGGGACCAACGGCTTTACTTCCCATCCGAAGGAAGGCGTGATCAGAGATGTTATGCCTCAGAACATCCCGGCGGCGCCGACTGGGATTGAACCCAGGCCTGCTGGGGTGAGAGGTAATCACACTTACCACTACACCACCGGCACCGTTGCGGCGAGTAGTTCGCGGAACTGATAATATTCAAATCAACCGTTAAATGCGTGAACGAAGATACACAATGAAGTGTTACGTCTGTTTGTCAATGGTAAAACCTTGGCCTTCTTACCAAATTTTTCGGTTAAAATTGACTTATCGTCAACTTTCTGAGCCCGTCACCCTGTTTGGAGTAGATCCTTCAAACCGCCAAAGAATCACAACGTACACACTTATCCAGTCAGTAATTTTTACCGAGTTTTTGAATTGCGGAACTGTTCGGTAAAATTTAAAAAATCTGTGAAAAATTCAAAGTTGAGAAAATGTGTTATGACCATTTACAGACTTCCTTCTGTTAACCCCGTTTAACGACGAAAAATAAAATTTGTCGATTATATCGAATCTTTACGAATAACGGTCATTTGAATTTTAACCGAGTTTTTCAGTAATTCAAAATTCAAAAATCCAGTAAAAAAATACTGACTCATGTAAAAAAATCTAAGTGTGTAGAGACGAAACAGTTTTTTGGCCAAATTTCGAACAGAGGCACTTTTCTCATTGACAAAAGTTTAGTGATCCTCTGGTCCACTTTTCGGTCCACCGGTCCCGGTTTACGGCCAGATTTCGATGTGTCCTCGAAGGCAACTTCTTCACCGAACTTCCGGATGACGGTTTGGATTGCTTACTTCCTCCATTTTCGTCAACTTCCTTACTGATAGCTTGGAAATAGTGCACCATTTGTGCACGATCTGTTTGCGCTTTTCCTTAAAAAAATGCACTTTGCGCACACAAACTTGTTGAGTAGTAAGTAAACAACACCACTCAGCGATAAACAACTGATAAACTTCATCTGGGTAGAATTGGTGGCGAGTTGAAAGTGTGTCTATACTTTCTGGGACACCCTATAATAACTTTTCCTTGACATCTATTTCACCGAATAAAAAAGCTTTTCGAAAATGATATCAGTTAAAAAATTCAATAACTAGCTTGGAATGGATAGGTATTATAACTAGAAGATCCTAGCCAGGTTTCGAAATAGAAGAACTGGTCATATTTCAAAGGAGGAGAAATCTGCTTTGAACTATCATTTCCTAATCCCAGAATCTTTTTTAATTTATTTTTATCAATTCTGAATATGCAATTGCGGCATTGTTAAGTTCCAAAATCTAAAACAAAAAATCCATGTCCTAGAGTTTCTTAAAAATTTGTTTGAGTTGAAGATCTTTATTATTTTTATAAGTTCGATTTTTGTTAGATTACGCAACGTTAATGTCGTTCTGAATCTTCAATATTTGCTAAATCCATGTGAGCAGTTCCACGCCAAATGGCGTATCGAAAAAAAAAAACTCGACCTTTTCCTATTTGTATGAACCTTTGGAAGATTGTGTGTTATGGGCAATCATTCTCATTTTTACAAAAATTCGATCATTTTTATAAAAATTACAAGGCTCAAAATTATAATTATTTTGGCAAAAATGTGAATGATTGCCCATAACACAAAATTATGCAAAGTTTCGTGCAAATCGGAGAGGGCCGAGTCTTTAATTTATATTGTGTTAACCTATTTGGCCTGGAACTGGTCATGTCTGATTAGTACGGCCGTGAACAGGTCCTGAGAGAAAAAAAGCGATCTGCTCTTGAATGTTCTGTAGAATTCCCGAAAAAATGCGTTTGAATTTCCTTACTAGACCTGTAGATTTAGCACAACCGAGCTTCTATTGTAAGTCTTGTGGATTTCCCATGGCTGTTCTGTGTAGTTTTGTTGAAGCACAGTTGAGTTACCACAGAAGCCTTGCAATCCTGAATGAACTATATCCACCTCTTCAAGGTGGTTTGTTTAGAAGGACGTTAATAGATGGAAGCACAGAAGCCTTGCTAGATTTGGCTAGAAGCCTTGTGAACTTCCTTTATAAATCCTGTGCGCTTCTGTTCATTTTCTGTAATCTTCTCTAAGATGTCCTATCAATTTCCAGAATAAACGCTTGCAACTTTCTGTAAAAGTCCTGTAAATGTTTCTAAAAATTCTACGAACTTCCCTCAGAAGTGCTGTGTCCTTCCCGTGGTAGTTTTGTAAAGTTCTCTTATAAGTCTTGTAGACTTCTCGTTGGTAGTTCTGTTGACATCAACGTTCTATTAAAATGTTGTTGTCTTACTACCTTGTCAAACTGAATTTGTTATTATAGATTAAGTCGTATATGATGTAAAATTGATTCGCTTATAGAGTAATTTTGAATTTCCACGCAAATGGCCATTTTTTGCATTATATACGATTTGTTTGCCTGGCCTCTCAATTAGCTATAAAGCAAGACCATGCTGGAGGCGGCTGGGTTTGATCCCCGATTCTCGGCTTCACTTGCCACACAATAATACTGATGCAAAATGGCACAGGCTTAGAAAGCTCTAAATTAACATTTGTGGGGGACGTAGTAAAGCCACAAAAGAGAGACGATTTGTTTGCCGATGTCATAAAAACAATTTTGACATACATGCATTTTGGCTTACCTGTGCCTTTTGCCAGTAGTCCCTTCCAAACGGAGGCAAAGAAAATAAACTGACTGGATCGATTAAGCACTGTTTTGTTCCTCTTGTAGTGTGTTGCCTTAGAAGCTTTAGTAGTAGGTACTGACCCATATGTTTCAACCAATAAATAGCTCACGACTCCCGACACTACTCACACCACTACTTCTACCAACCAGACACCAACGCTGTTGAAACGGATGTAGATTTTTTTCTGTTGCAATTGTAATTGTAATTTTTTGACCACCCCCCCCCCCCCCCCCCCAAAACGCCGGCTTGTTGATGTGCGTGTTCTGAACTGATGCACCGTTTGTCTAATAATTATTGGAAGTAGAAAACTGGTGCGAAACCACGAAATTACATCCAATTTCATTCCATCGCCGTAGCACCATCGCTTCTTCGTTCACAGTTGAGAGCTACTGCCAGCTTGAGACTCATCAACAACAACCAAATTAAACAGTATGGTATGGCAAACTTGTAGCATTCCTAACACTCATGTCATAACGTCATTTCATCGCATCATTTTGCAACCGGTTATGCAATCAAAACAACTACGACAAAAATGCCGCAACAAAACAAAAGCAATCTATGTAAGTTAGCTAATGTGTCTGCACATTTACCGCTATCGCGCTTTTTCTTGACGTGACAATTGCATACCAGTATTAGTCAATAGTCGATTAAGAGGGAAAAACATCAGCAATGTAAGCAGGAGGAAAACAGTCCCTTGTGGATTGTGGAAGTGATGAACAACAGCTAAACCATTGTAGCATGACTAAAAAAATAAACGCAAACAAACAAAACTGCATAGGTTAACTGACAGAAATAAACATAATAATCAAAACGAGAAACACTTGATGAAACATTTAGAACCAATTTGAAACCAGATGAAATAAATGTTACAGTTACTATAACACACAACAGTTGATGACATGAAACATATAAGAATAGTAAACTAATGCAGGATCTATAAAAACAAACATAGATAGTACGAAAGGCCAAACACTTTCCCTTCAATTTAGTTTTCTTAAAAAAAAAGGATAACACATTCACACACTACCGATGAAAGCAATAGCAATATCCACAACATCGTCTCCTCTGTAGAAAATGTTGACAGTTGTTATTGTTATTACAAAGGTAAATATTGAAAGGAATCTCGTAAGAACCCCCCAGTGCAACACATCTGGAGGGGGCCTGGTGCCCCTTCCCTTGCCCATCCTCCTTCTTCTCCCCAGACATCACATCCACAGTAGCGTTTGTGTAAACAATATTGTAGCGTTATACAGTTAGGAATTGAAACATAAATAGGAATGATCATTCACTCACGACAGACGACACACGACAAAGGTTGATATTAACCATTCTATAGTAGGGAGTAGACCAGCTGTGATTATTTTGAAAATTACTAATTGAGATTCGATGAGGGTAAGAGAGTTGGAATCGTCGCAACGGAGCGGGAAAGGACGAATTTTGTGGAACGTCGTCGTGCAAGAGTGCTAGGTTAGCTTAGTGTGAGGGATTTGATTTGTTCGAACCGAACAGGTATTTCAAGCAGCTTTATTTCGATGTAGTTATGGTGTAATTCAAAGTTTACTTTTTAAGTTAGTCATTTTTCGCTACGTAAAAACTTTCTTTTCTTGAACCGGAGTCTGAAAAGGAATGATCATCTTCCGAAAAAAAAAATAGAAGATAAAGTATACTGTGGAAAAGTATGAATCAAGAATGTTCCATTGCATTCTATGTGTTACTTATATACCTTCTATTGCTATTGATTTTTGTGATTACTTTTGTTTCAACCTGCAAGATTGAACCCAGCGGCAGCGAGTTTTAAAATATCTTTAAGTTCGAATAGTATTATGCGGTGCATTTCCTGTTAGTAAGCGAACCAGCTTACCAATTGCTAAGATATAATTTTTGCCATGTTTTGCTTCCTGTAAATGAGGTATTTTAATCTATACATCAAATAGGTTTTTTAGGGATGCGATTTAGTTTAGGAAAAAAAAATTAAACAAATTTCTACCAACAACAATAATGGGTTTACCGTCGGACGATTTATTTATAACAAAGCTAGAACCGAATTACAAACCATATATAGCATAATAATACGTATTTGAAAAAGCACTTAAGTGCAGCACTACTGATAATTTACTGTTTATAATGATATTGAAACCCAAAATCCATCATTCGAAACAACAGATACATACACGCATACATTGAATATGTAATAAAATTACCTATTGAGCTGTATTTAAAATAAACCCTAAACGATGGCATGAATGCAAAATTTAGAAATACAAAAAAAAAACCCGGAGAATGAAACTGATATAACAAAATATGTACCCTGAAAGTACCCTGTACTGGACAGATAAAACTAACCTATCCTAGAGACTTACAAAAAAAAATATATATATATTTAAATAATTTGGGGGTTCTGATTTATCCGAAACTTCCTTGGAAGGACCTGTCGTACTCTACTGCAAATATACAGGGTGTTGGATTCCTTAGTGCAAATATTTTAAGGGGTGATAGCGCACAGCACAGTTGACTGACAGCCCGCTGCATACAGACATCAACAGTAACACACTGTGGGGTTGAATTCGTGTTTTAGGCAACCATTAACTAGCGACCCAACATGAAGGTGGTGTCAAAGAGATAGTTGTAGAGCGCTTTGAGAGGCATCTAATGGCAAAGCATGACCATGCTGGAGGTGGCTGGGTTCGATTCCCGGTCCGGTCTAAGAATTTTTGGGGTTGGAAAATTTCTCGACTTCCCTGGGCATACAGTATGATTGTACTGCCACACAATTATACTAATGCAAAAATAATACCACGCATCGAAAGCTCTTATGACAGCTATCCATTTAAAATAATCCGTTAAAATTTCGTCAAGATACATAATCATTATAAATCATTAGATAACTGTTCAAAAGACAGCTTTAACGTGTGAAATGCAATGTCTCTTAAATTCTGTAAGTGTTGTTGCACGTTTAATGTGTCTGGGCATCGAATAGAAAATATTTATTCCTTTGAAATATAATGAATTCTGTGAAGCACAGGTCAATAAATGTGGTGTTCTTATTTCATTCGCGTTTCTAATATTACATCTATGAAAATCACTTCCCCTTTCAATTCGATCACACAAATATCGAGGCAGCAAACCGTTAACTACTTTAAAAATGAACACCATAGTCAAATATACAATTCTTTGCTGTACCGACAACCATTTTAAAGCGTCTCACGGAGAACAAATTATAGCAGACGCAATTATTTTTCCGGTCAAAATAACTATATTGTTCAATTGTTTTAGAGATAACTCGAAACTATAGTTGATTTGACTATATATAGAGAGCAACAACTATAGTTCATAGTTGGCTCCTCGGTTGGCTCAACTATATTTTTCAGTAGATGAACAAACGTTAAACTTCAAAATACAACTATGCTTTAGTTGATTCAAGGAAACTATTGTTAGGGAAGCAAAATTTAACAATGTTTATTAAACGAACTACTCTTCATTATCGACATATTAAGGAAGTTTGTTTTGCTTCTTTATCGATCTCAAAAACACAACTGCAAAATCATAAAAAAGTGAACAAGAACATTCAACTTAGATTTGAACCGTGTTCATCTGCGTGAGAGCCAGCTATCTTATCGCCTGCTCTACGCATCACAAGTTAAAAGTATGTGGATTTATGATGATCACTTGAAACCAAATTATATAAATAAATTACATTTGACGATTGTTATAATTGATAAAAGTTATAGTTGAATTGAGTATAAGATGAACAATTGAATCTATTAAGTAGATATGATTGAGTTGACGGTCAAATTAATGTTGGAATAACTATAGGTTTCTTTCGAACAACAATATTTTTCCATGTGAAAGTAACTATTAGGATTGTTATCTCAACTCAACGAATTTGTTCTCCGTGCTAGCATCAAAGTTGACGAAGTGAATCTATTACATCTCAAAATCAAACGATTTGTATAGCTGTATTTTACTGGCAATAGTTAAACCGTTTTTCAATCGACATAGATTTCCATACTTCTTGGCAATTTTCTTGATGACATTGTCAATGTGAGAGTTGAACTGAAGTTTGTCAGCAATAATCACGCCAAGATATTTAATCTCCCGAACGCGATCATTTTACTTATAAATTTTACTAAAAATGTCTTGGTTTGTCCGCAAGATTCTATAGGTTATTCTGTAATTTGTACAACCCTTAAAATGCTTCAAAGTCTCAGAGCCTTGACAATTATGACTCCACTACCCATAGGAAGATTTTTTTTTAAATCCATGATCTTGAAAAATTTCCAAAATCTCACATTTTAATAATATTTTCTCCAAAATTTGCATCACGAAGATTGTTATTAATCACACATTTTGAAAAAAAAGTTATAGTTATAGTAAATTCCTTTCAGTAATATTCTTCAAGCACAGTCAAATTTCACTCGTTGGGCAATGTTTAGTTGGGGTCCCGTTAGTTGGGCTGTAGCCCACCTAAATCAAAGTCAAACGTCATTTTTGACAGTGCTATTTCTTTTTCGAGGGGCTCATGTGAGAACAATTTGGATTGTTGCTAAAGGATTGTGATGATAATAAACAATCGGTGTATCCCTCAACCAATTTTCAGCTTGACAGCTCAGCCCAACTAACGAAAGCCTTTCACTAAGTGGGCAACAGGTTTAGCCCAACGAGCGAAAGTTGACTATTGGTCTATTGGACGTGGCTAATAAATTTCATGAACCGTGTTTAGATTCACGTTGAGCGAGTTCCAATGTCAGTAGGTTTCACATATTTTGTGTTTAACTTTGTACATCAGCGCGAGTAGTCAAAGGTTAATATTTATGTTAGTATAGAAAAGGAGAGAAAAAACATTTTCTTTATCCGAAACCCAACAATTTCCTCTAATTCTCATTTGTATCAAGTTCATTTTTTTCTCTTTACAATTCTGTCTTATAACCTATTCATCAAGATAGCATTTGGCCTAGTGACCTTAATCTCTGTTACTCAATAAATTATAGGACTTTGAAATCATAAGATGTATCGAGCTTAGAAAAGTGACACAAATTGATTTTTCAAAGTATCTCGAAAGATACTGAATACATTAAGTGACTCATAGAGTTGAATTTATACTTTCAGCTTTAAAAAATATTATTTATTTTCCCACAAATAACTTTCGTCAATTTATAGTTGGCCATCTTTTTAAAAATGTGGTCAATTTCGTTTTATGTTGAATATTAACAACCGGGAAAACCGGGAATTTCAAAATGAAAACTTGCTGGCCACCCTGATAATCGGATGGGCATGGGGATCATTGATAACCTTCCACAGATAATCCAATGTTAGCGATATTGAACACAAAGATAGTTCGAGTCGACTTTCTCGAGCCAGAGGTTTTGCTATACGTATCGCTTCAACAGTGTTCAAAATAGTCAAGTTGAAATCGTCACATGAATCGTAAAAAATAGCCGCTCTATGGGAGCTCATATCATCCAGCGATGATTTAGACGCCTGATAGAGCAGGAAAGGGAATTGTTTTGATCCCTAAAAGTACTCCTCCATAAAGAAGAATTTAGAGGAGAACTCCATCAGTCCGCATCGTGCTCTCTTGCCGTGCGGATCTGTTTGCTTTTTGCTGAAGGAAGTGTTACTACTACCTAAAGCTACAACAAATTTAAACAGCACTTTTCAGTGCTCAACCTGTAAAAATTTTCTACCTTGTTCAACTCTTATTCCTCTTCGATCCTTGTTTGTGTTTCCGAACAGGTACAAATTCCTCTGCTGTTAACAACGGTCAGCGAGGAACAAATTCTACATTCGTACCCGTAGGTACAAATATCTCCCCTGCTTCAAATGTTTCATCTGTACCTACTCCCCTCGCTGCTAACAATGTTCAGCGAGTTAATGGAGCTACCTATGCTGCTATTGCAGCGGGTAGAAATCAAAATACTAACCAACGTTCTAACGGAAATTTTGACAATTTTGACTTAGGAAGCATTACTGCCCCCAAAATGGAATTTTTACAGAATTCATTAATTGACATGATTTCTGATATGCTTAAATCTAACTCCATGTTTGATGCTATTCAAACTGGAGTAAAATTTGCAAATAATATTGTCATGACTTTAAAATTCAATAATGGATTTTAAAGCATTAAATATCGTAAATTGGAATGCTTGATCTCTTAAAGATAATGAAAACGAGCTATTTAACTTTTTGAGAGTTCATAGCGTGCATATTGCCGTTATAACTGAAACGTTCCTTAAACCTGCCCATAAGGTTAAGAAGGACGCAAATTACTTGATTTATAGAAATGATCGTCTTGATGGACCCTGTGGTGGCGTTGCCATCATTATTCATAGACGAATCAAACATAAAATTCTTTCTTCATTTGAAACCAAAGTTTTTGAAACTTTGGGAGTTTCTGTTGAAACAAAATTTGGACAACTTACGTTTATAGCTGCCTATTTGCCATTCCAATGCGTAGGCCAGCAAAAGAATTTTCTCAAGGGTGACCTTCAGAAACTTACCCGTCATAGGTCTAAATTCTTCAATATTGCTGATTTTAATGCAAAACACCACTCATGGAATAATGCTCAAAGCAATTCCAATGGTAATATTCTGTTTGATGATTGTTCTGCAGGTTATTACACTATTCAATATCCAAACAGCCCAACATGCTTTTCTTCTGCAAGAAATCCCTCAACTATTGATTTGGTCTTAACTGATTCATGTCAACTTTGTAGCCAATTGGTTACCCATGCTGACTTCGGTTCTGATCACCTTCCAGTAACTTTTGAAATATCCCAAGAAATAATTTGTAATCCCAACAGCTCTACTTTCAATTACCATAGAGCTGATTGGGAGCAGTATCGAACATTTATGGAATATAACTTCGATCCAAACATTCCTTTGCAAACCAAAGATGAAATTAATTATGCTCTTGAATCTCTGATTACTTCTATAGTTGAAGCAAGAGCTGCCTCAGTACCAAAATGCGAGGTTAAATTCGATTCAATTATAATAGACGATGATCTTCAGCTCTTGATCCGTCTTAAAAATGTCCGTAGGAGACAATATCAAAGAACACGCGATCCTGCCATGAAAGTTATCTGGCGGGATTTGCAAAAACAAATTAAAAAGCGATTCTCTGCCCTGAGGAACAAAACTTTTGAAAATAATATTTCTAAATTAGACCCGAGTACCAAACCCTTTTGGAAACTCACAAAAATTTTGAAAAAACCTCAAAAGCCTATCCCAGCGCTTAAAGAAGGTGGTAAAATTTTGATCACAAACTTGGAAAAAGCTCAGAAACTTGCTAAGCAATTCGAGAGTTCCCATAATTTCAGTTTGGGTCTTACTAGTCCTATTGAGAATCAGGTTGCTCGGGATTTTCTGAATATTTTCTCTCGGGAAAATATTTTTGATGATTCCTGGGGGACTGATTTGGACGAAGTAAGGTCTATAACTAAAAATTTTCAAAATATGAAAGCTCCAGGTGATGATGGAATTTTCTATATCCTCATCAAAAAACTCCCAGAGAGTACCTTGTCTTTCTTGGTAAAATTATTTAACAGATGTTTCCATTTGGCATACTTTCCTGATAAATGTAAAAATGCAAAAGTTGTTCCAATTTTGAAGCTGGATAAAAATCCAGCTGAAGCTTCTAGCTACCGTCCAATAAGTTTGCTTTCTTCAATAAGTAAACTTTTTGAAAAGATAATTTTGAATAGAATGATGCTTCACATCAATACGAACTCAATTTTTGCAGATGAGCAGTTTGGATTTCGTCATGGGCATTCAACTACTCATCAACTCTTAAGAGTTAACAATTTAATTCGTTCAAACAAATCTGAAGGCCACTCAACTGGAGTTGCTCTTCTAGACATAGAAAAAGCATTCGACAGTGTTTGGCATGAAGGTTTGATTGCTAAATTGAAAAAGTTTAATTTTCCACTTTATATTATGAAATTAGTTCAAAATTATTTAACTGACAGAACTCTTCAAGTAAATTATCAAAATTCCAAATCTAATCGACTACATGTTAGGGCAGGACTTCCTCAGGGTAGCATTCTTGGGCCTATATTGTATAACATTTTCACTTCGGACCTCCCTGATTTGCCTCAGGGTTGCCACAAATCTTTGTTCGCTGATGACATAGGCATTTCCGCTAAAGGAAGAAGTCTTCGTGTTATTTGCAGCAGATTGCAGAAAAGTTTAGATATTTTCTCTTCTTATTTACAAAAATGGAAGATTTCTCCCAACGCTTCCAAAACTCAACTTATAATATTTCCACATAAGCCTAGAGCTTCGTTTTTGAAACCTAGTAGTAGTCACATAGTCACTATGAACGGAGTTCCAATTTCCTGGTCAAACCAAATGAAATATCTTGGATTAATACTTGACCAAAAATTAACTTTTAAAGATCACATTGAGGGCATTCAAGCTAAATGTAACAAATATATTAAATGTTTGTATCCTCTTATAAACAGGAAATCCAAACTTTGCCTGACGAATAAACTTCTAATATTTAAACAAGTTTTTAGACCGGCCATGCTTTACGCTGTGCCAATATGGTCTAGTTGCTGCACTACCAGGAAAAAAGCACTTCAAAGGATTCAGAACAAAATTCTGAAAATGATTTTGAAGCTGCCTCCCTGGTACAGTACAACCGAAGTACATAGAATTTCGAATGTTGAGACTTTAGCACAAATGTCCAACAAAATAATTAATAATTTCAGGCAAAAATCGTTGCAATCCTCAATTGCAACGATTAATTCCCTTTATACTTAGATAAGATTTAGTTTTAGTTTCTAGTTTTAAGATATCAATTGTTATACTGACATGCAGGTTAAAAAACCTGTTTAAAATACTGAATTGCCAAGACATGAACAATGTAAAAACACTTAGATATATATCATAACAATTAAGGCTGGTACGTTACTGCAGTAACTGGAGTACCTAGGTTAAAATGAAATGTAATTTATTTTGAATTTGCAACAAATAAAGAGTTAAAAAAAAAAATAGAGGAGAACTCCAAAATAATTCTGAGCAATTTGGAGACAATTCTCGACGCCAGAATTTACCTTGCCCGATGGTGTTGGCAGCTTAGGGGGATTACAAGTTTTGCCCATAAAAGCTAATAAGCCCTTTTCAATTGTTGGTCGAGAATCTGAGGTGAATTGCATGGGAACTCTACGGGGAATTTCAAACAAATTTTAAAAATGGAAGCTCCAGTGCATTCCTGGGAAGAATTTAAAATTCAAAGAGAATCTAAGGACGAATTTGAAGAACTTTTTGGAGCGTTCTACAGAGAATTTGTGGACTGTTATAAAGACATTTTAAGGGACTTCCAAATTTAATTCTGAAAGAACTCTTAATCGAATAAAAGCCTGTAAAGTTTTGAGCGAAGACTTCGAACGTGTCGCAGAACCAAATTCAAGATCCAGCAAAGAAGGAGCTGCTGTCTTAGAAATAACCCATTTCACCTTCAGCTCAATCGTATTCAGTTTTATGCTTAATTTAAATGTATATCGCTAAACCGGGAAAATTTCCAAAATTCCAAGAGAAACGCGAGAACTAAAGGGAAATTGCTAATAGAGATTTGCTGGTCATCATGAAGATGGAGGAGATCTGGATGAATTTATGCCCCTAGGGTTGAGTTCGGACGCAGTCAGAGAAGAACTTCTAAGGGTGAGAAAATTGCCATGCAAAGCACCTCTGCTCTATCAGTGAGTTAGTCGAAAAGTTGCATGAACTTGTTGAAAATTTTAAGCGATTAAACAAGCCTTTTTGTAGATTTATTTCGAGATGGTTGTCGTTTCATTCACACGTCACTTTCAATCATAGTAACATCCCAGCTACTGCTTGAACTACATACCTAAAATGTATGCATTTAAAAAATGCGGTTCTTCCCGTTTTTGGCAACACGTGATTTCTGTCTTTTTTGCATTCTATAAAATGTATCGACCACTTTATTCAATTTGAAATTGTACTGGGTTAGAGGTGCATATGTTATTTCATGAAAATATGTCCAGAAAGCACTAATATACCTGAGGAAAGCAATAGCTGACGGAGTTGTGTTGCCAAAACCGGGTAGGTCCCTGTACCAGGATTTTTTTTTAATTGCTGGGAAATCAGGGAATATGAGGGAATTTTGGTTTCTTCATTGAGTCGACACCCTGGACTCGATTTTTCCATCGACATAGGATAGTAATTTGTTCCTGGATATTTTCTAGGGACCATCGACATAGAGAAATATCTAGATAAACATATATAGAGATCTATCTAGATAAACATATATAGATATAGAGAACTGGATGTATGGGAATCTGAATATGTGAAAAATGATAAAAATTTAAATTTTCGGGGGCGACCCCGGCGTAGTGGTTAACATCCATTCCTCTCACGCCAAAGTCACGAGTTCAAATCTCACCCCCGGAAAAGTCATGAATGACCCAAGAGTGTTAAAGTGACTATGATAAAAAAACAAAAAAAAAATTAAATTTAAGATGGTGCCAATTTTTTGACTAATTTATTTACTTTATAAAAATTCCACGAGTAAGGAATAGATTTTTTGTTTTTACTGGTGTGATTTATGCGTTGGAAGTTTTGGTTGCAAAATGGTACTTCTCTCAAATTTTTTGTAATCCTTCTTTCGAATAGTTGACTTTAGTAGTAGTGTTAACATTTCAAACACTACAAATAGAACACGTTATCCATTGTATAGACAAATACTAGCTAATTAAATACAATCATCGTTCCTCTGCGATTCTCATCGTGCGGGAGGGATTCTTTATCATAAAAGGTATTGATTACTTCGTCAAGCTGGTTGTTGAAAGTGCAAATCGTCATTTTTGAACATGTTTGTCGTGCAAAATAAAAAAGTTACTCAGGCTAGGACACAGTCTAAAAAATATTCAGGCAATAAACCTATACTGCCGTTCTACGCATATCAGTCCCATGTTTCAACAGTTGCTTCTGAGAAAATCGCGAATAATGTTTCGAATCATTTCTGCTCATTGGAAGAAATATACGTTAAAACAAGTTAGCGCATTGTTCACATTTCAACAGAATCAATATGTTTTAGTGAAAACTACAGAAATTACAATGAAATCAGTTAAGCCTATTTTTATACGAAAAATATTTAATGGGACTGTTATGCCTAGAAATTTGCACTGAAGTAGGAAATTCTACGCATGTTAGTCCCACTAGGAACTGTTACTGTCAGTGTTGCTTTGATGGTCACGTTGCGTTTGACGTCTTTACTCTTGTGATTACATGAGCGTGCTTGCGTTCTCCGCAGTTTTGGAAGATCGTGGATAGTTTGTATAGCTTTCAATCATTAAATTATACCAACAATACATGTGTTGACACATCTATAAAATCATTTGAAGTATGGACATCTCAAGAAACTAATGATGAATGCACTATTTAGAACATAAACTTCATAGCATCTTGTTCTACTCCTTAGCAAGATGAACGTAGGCCTAAAGGAGATTGTGCTTAATAATTTTGAGTCCGACCATAGATTTATGGCTGACATGCTGTGGACAAAAGATCAATACGTCACACGATCGTTGAACGTGGGCTTCGATGATTTCAAGAAATACTTTGGAAGAGTTGACATGCACATGCAAATTTCTTCCGTACGGAGTTGACCTTTATACTACGTATTATTATATTATATAAGTGGCTTTTCATGAAAAACGTAGACAATAGAGAGGGTCTAGTATAAGAGAGGAGCGGACTAGCTGGTTTTGAGCCAAACGAACTGTCAAAGCCAGAGTCAATCGAGCAACGGCTATCTGGATTGCATTGGCAGTGTTGCTAGAAACTACCCAGGCATAGGATGCCAAGGCAGTTTGTTCTGAATCCGCTCCTCTTTTATACTAGACCCTCTCTAGTAGGCACTATAGGGCGAGTGTGAGGGGTGGCGAGTGTCTACATTAGTGTCTAGTATTGCATTTTTTGAAATTAGAAACTGGCTTTTTTATATGAAATCCTGATTTTCTTAATATTTATCAACATTAAATAAAACTGCCACTTCCTAAATAGGTCATACTGTTTCTTTTGATTGTATAAATCCTGTTTCCATAATTTGTGTACACAAATCGATTCGTAATGATAAATTCAGTCGAGAAAATCTTTGTGGGACACTTATGCGTAGAATTTCAACATGGGACAATTAGGCTTGATGTTGTTTTTATACAAACACAGAACAAACAATATGTTTTTCTATTTTCAATCCAAAGTCTATCTAAAAAAGTACTGTTTTATGAACAAAAGTGAAAAACGCCCAAAAGTAACATGGGACCGATACGCGTAGAACGGCAGTATACAAAACACAAAAAGAAACATGTTGCTGCGGGGTGTGCGGGGAGTGGGGACATTCGGCAAGGACGAGGACGAGGAGGACAATTGACAAAGGGGTCTCTCTAGACAAACAACAACGATGACATCATTTCCCGCATCGAGTCTTTCCGATTCAGGGCGGAACCAGTCACCGTGCTGGCTTCTGTTTCGGCAGGCGCTGACGGTATCGTTGTGAACGATTTGCACATGTTGTCGAATGCTTCCTCGGACAGTTCACCTGTTGTCACCTGCATGTATTAGCTTTCCTTGAACTTCTCCTTAATGGCCTGCTGTCCCAGCGATTCCACCTTCTGGTGCACTTTGTTCAAGTCCAGAATGATGTCTTTAAGATCCTCTAGTTGGTAGTCGGCATTAATCTCCAGCATCCGAAACCAGATGGAAAGATCGAGCGTGTAGCGGGAGAGAGCCAAAGCACCGGCCGAAATCTTCAACGGTAAATACGTAAGGAATAGATCCGCGTCCAGCAGTGACAATTCACAGAGGTCTATGCACATGTTTTTCACCTTATCCGGCACGTCGTACATAACGCAGTAGAAGGTAGTAAATACCAAAATGGTTGGTACAGATAGGTCAAATCCGAGCACCTTCAGGATTAGCTGCTCCATACGAAGCACTTGCGTTTTGGTGTAGGTATCGTCAGTTATGTACACAAAAACACCCACGTCTGGTGGGTGAATTTCCTCGTAAATCGCAGCAATGAACATGGCAGCAATGCCAACCAGTTGCAGCTTTGCGCGAACTACTGACATAAAGCTGAGGAATCGATCAATGTAGGAAATTGCCAGATAGAGAGTTTCACTTTGCAAGCGATACTCTTCGCAAACCTCCACGAGCCAATCCACCAGAATGGTGCGCATCGAGTGGTTGATATCCGGTTATTTCTTCATGTAGGCCGGTTTCGGACGGTGACGCTTTTCGGCCTCTTTGAGATAGGCCAGGAACCACTTGGGCCAAAAACTGGCTCACCTACCCTAGTTAAATTGTTTTCAATCAAACTTGTGAATGAATTCGAATCCTTCGAATCCTTGTGATCGCGCACGGGCGGGATCCGTACGTTGTGTTACGGATATAAAATAAAACAATACCGATCGCTTTGCCCTCTGCCATGGCAGAGGCAGTGAACCTATTTATCTGTTTATTGTCGTTGAATGAAACCATCCTTATTAACATCAGTGTGTGGATAGGTATGTATATACAACGAATAAGGTACTTGCACATGTACATGACATGACACATGACACTTTGCACAAACACCTTGTTTGTATCCATAATTGATTCAATGAAGTGAATCATGCATGCTGAGATTGAAAAAAATCATGTTGGTTTTAAACAAATCATGATCTATGATAACGATTCAAAGCTTGCTTTTTTAAACTCATTTCGAAAAAAAATATAAGACTGTTATGCTTTTATGGGCAGTATAATAAATTACTATTTATGTTTGTCAACTAAATTTTTACTCACAATCTTTTTTTCTTTGCAGCCGATGCCGAAACGCGGCTTTCCACCCAGAAGGACCCTACCAAGGCGAGTATGCCGCAATCGATAGAGTTTCGCAGCTTTTAGCAACTATCAACACTCAATTTTAAGTTTTAAATCTACGGTTTGAAGTATGCATTTACCATACTCACGTTTAATGACATGTTTGTAAAAGAAGAAGCTGTGATAGTGAATTTCAAGAAAATCATGAGAATCATTTTTTCAAGGAATACCCTTCGAATAAAAGGCAAGCATACATCCTAAAATAATTGAAACAGTAACAATATTGATTCACCTAGCTAATGACTACACACCAATCAACAGCCAACATCCTTAATAGCACTTGACACGCGGCCTTTCGCTCAAGGTTGCCCTCGTTTGCTTGCACACCGTAGCCACGACTTCTTCCAGACAGATACATACCTACAGCCAATACTGCTACCACGACTGCTTTAATGGACACTAGTCAGTTCGAATGAATCGGAACGCCAGCCTTTCGCTACCTACGATATAAAAAGGAGCATCCACTTGCATGCAACTTCGCCTATGTGGGGTGGAAAAACGGGAAAAACGCTCGAACCCAATCGAGTCCGTTTTTCCTGCTGTTTCCATGGCATGGCCGAAAACAAAACTGAAATGCTTTTACAAGGTTTGGCCGACTGACTGACTGTGGTGGCGGAAAAGCAGTTCAATGTAAAAGCATTTTCTTATTCGCAGCCCGCAAATTTGTGCTATTATTTGTTGTCGTAACCGTGCTCGGTTCGGAAGCAGGCAGCGGGAAATTGCTTTACTCCCGAGAAAAACCATCCGTCGAGAAGTTTTCACTCAAGATTGTTTAAAAAAAAAGGAAAACCGGAAGCAGTGGATGCGATAAGAATCAAATTAATTGTGTAAATAGAAGTCGCGGTTCTCTTGGTTCGGCTGTTGGGACACAAACTTTAATTACGAAACACGCGCGGTGGAAAGTTGCTAGACGTGGACAAGTTTGGAAAGAGGGGGAAGAACAATGGCTACCAAATCTTCGTCGGCGACATTCGCGATCGAAGCTCGCCCATATTCGGCGACAAGGCCAGTCAAGAGTGCCCCGCAGCTCCGACCGGTTCCAGCATTTTCCATCGAGTCGTTGCAGAAGAATACGTTCGTGATGGGTCCTCCCAAGGCGCAGAAACGTGAGTACATACCGAACAATACTGAGGTGAAATAAGCTTTTGAACTGTCTGTTCGAGGGGGAATATTGACTTTTCCCGTTTGTGTTTGGCGATTAATTGGTTCTAATTTAGTTTTAATTGTTATTGACCTACATTGCGGGAATAAATATTCGATGCCATAATCGACAATTGTTGCGTCGCAGATGGTTGCTTATGAAGTTGTGCGTTATCGAAAAATAAACTACCTACACGGTTGAAGCTTTCATAGGGTGACGGCGACTCTAAAATAGTTGTATCAGGTACCTAACAAAAATATCTTGAACCTAATTAAATATAAAATGAAACTCACCGATTAATAAAGTGATAAAATCGGTACATGGTGCGTAATTAACATACTTGAGTGATAAGGAATACCAAAATTTATTGGATAAAAATAATGGAGAAATGCGTTTTTTTTTCAATACACTTCGAGTTCCAACATTAAATCGATGAGTTTTCCATATCCATATGCTTGCTGCTCTATATGTCGAGCTTTCTTCTTAATGTTAATAGGCCCTTTAATATCGACTCATTGAGGATTTATCAAATTAATGGTCATAGTATACAGGGTGACCAGTGAACCGGGAAATAGTCGGCAATTCGAAATCACCGGGAAAAGCTCGTGAATTTCGATGACAAATCGGGAAAAAATATAACTAGGGTAGAGAACTACTTCGACCTAATCGCCCATTTTGGGCCTATCTAGCAGAAAACTTCAAATAAATCCATGATTTCAGAGTTAACAAGTCAATTATGCGTTTGGTACGATACTTTAGTTAGTAAGCTACGGAACGAAGTCATTGGGAACGCGTGATATGAAGGTTTGCACCCATTATTCCTAAAAAACAAAAGAAGCGCTCCGACCGAATCAATTTTTATCTTCATCCGATAGGCCGAAGTGAATTCATTGGCGTTTCAATGCGTTAGGCCGAGTTTAGAATCCGTAGGCCGAATTTGACGTCAAGAAGCAGTGTTAGACTTTTGACAATATCTCAACGATTGGTTTCTCTTTATCAAATCTTACGAAACGTACAGAAAGGTAAATAAATTTGGAAGCCATCAGTAATATTAACATTCCGTTTGGTGCTAAACTACGCTAGATTAAGAAAGACTAAGTGCGGGTTGTGCTTAATAGGCCGAAAATGGGGTAGTTAACCCTACTTCGTCCTCTCGTCAGAATAAAAAAGATTCTGGACCTTGAAAAAATTTTAAGACCCTTGGACTGGACTAGATTTTCCGGATGCAATCACTTCGAAGAACTATTAAGAGAATTTGAAGATTATTTAATTAATCGAAAAAAGAGAGACCAGAGCGTCACTGCTATAAGATCAACCACATCGAACTCTGGTCCTAAGCTCTTCTTGTTGACAACGGGATGGAGGCAAGAAATGGTTCAGACCACATGGTCAAATATCAGTATCATCATTTTTTTGTCGCGAAGAAGACCCATTTTGATTGGTGAGATGCGCGTATTTGGAGAGGTCCCAGAATTTTTCAAATGATACGGAACATCACAGTTGACTGAGGATTCATGTAAAACCTATTTTGGTTGATGAGCAGGCGCTCTTTGGAACGCGTCGACTGATGCGGAACATCACAATTGAATGAGGCTTCTTGTGATGTAACCCGTCAGCCTCACGAGTTTCCCGTTGCAAGTAAAATGGCAAGCGCCACTCCCGAGGGAGACCATTTACCAAGGTTGAGGTTCCCATTTTTCCCAAATGTTTAGTCTAGCGGCGCCGGTGGTGTAGTGGTAAGCGTGATTACCTCTCACCCCAGCAGGCCTGGGTTCAATCCCAGTCGGCGTCGCCGGGATGTTCTGAGGCATAACATCTCTGATCACGCCTTCCTTCGGAAGGGAAGTAAAGCCGTTGGACCCCGGTTCATGAGTTGATGGGTCGATAGGTATGGTCCAGGTGTGGGAGCTGCCTTCCTGGCGTCGGTAGCATTGGTGCTCAGCACGGAAAACAAGATCGACGGAAAACAAATCGAAGAAAAAAAAAAATGTTTAGTCTACCTACAGGCGCAACAGTTCATGTTCATGCTAGCTTCATCTACCTATTTCTTCATTGCCTTTTACCTTTCCCCTCCTATCTACCTGTCTATCGAGTGTGTGTGGTTATGTTCTGGTGTAGTTCGTCTTCATCGTGCGTGCTGCAATTGGTTTCCGTGCAAACGGTTCGAATGGTTCTATTATACTACGCCTCGCAAAACCGGGAAAGTGCTACGGTACCGGGCTCTCAAGTCAACATGCGCATGGATAAATTACTAACAGGGATTGATTTTTTACTCACGACCTTTTATGCTGCTGTTCGGATGAAGATGTGGTGGATGAACAGAACGAGGTGGCGATGAGCCATCCGGTTGCCTTTCCTCGGCGGAAACAGGCAGAAAATGCTACAGATGACTTGCTGAATGAGCTGATGAATGTAGTGCCGACACGTGGCTTGCGTGACACGGTACGATCGTCGATCGCGTTTTGGTCGTCACCAAAATGTTGATTGCTGATTTAGCGCTATCGTGGCCGTATCGCTCTGCTAAAGGGTGATACGGTCAAAATTTGGTCAATATCAACTTGACGTATTTCTTTCAATTTTGCATTTAAAAAACCTGAACACCCCTCATTTTGAAGGTGTGTGTGTGTAGAATGTTGCTCCTATTTTGATTTTGGAATTCACTCTTCAGTTGTCAAAATGCCGTCCAAGCAAGAAGAGCAGCGTATCAAAATTTTGCTCGCGCATCGCGAAAATCCGAGCTACTCGCACGCAAAGTTGGCAAAATCGCTAAAAGTTGCCAAATCAACCGTTACAAATGTAATTAAATTGTTTGGGGAACGTTTGTCGACAGCCAGGAAGTCTGGATCGGGGGGAAATCGAAAACCGGAAGCCGCTGAGACGACAAAGAGAGTTGCCGGTAGTTTCAAGCGAAACCCTAACCTCTCTCTCCGAGATGCCGCAAATAAGCTGGGTGTATCGTCTACAACCGTGCATCGAGCCAAAAAACGAGCCGGACTATCGACTTACAAGAAGGTAGTGACTCCAAATCGCGGTGATAAACAAAATACAACGGCCAAAGCGCGATCCCGGAGGCTGTACACGACGATGCTGACGAAGTTTGACTGCGTGGTAATGGACGACGAAACCTACGTCAAAGCCGACTACAAGCAGCTTCCGGGACAGGAGTTTTATACGGCAAAAGGAAGGGGAAAGGTAGCATATGTTTTCAAGCACATGAAACTGTCAAAGTTCGCAAAGAAATATCTGGTTTGGCAAGCCATCTGTACCTGTGGCTTGAAAAGCAGTATTTTCATAGCTTCCGGGACTGTCAACCAAGAAATTTACGTGAAAGAGTGTTTGAATAAACGTCTGCTGCCTTTCCTGAAGAAACACGGTTGTTCCGTACTGTTTTGGCCGGATTTGGCATCTTGCCATTACGGTAAAAAGGCCATGGAGTGGTACGCCGCCAACAACGTGCAGGTGGTTCCCAAGGACAAGAACCCTCCCAACACGCCAGAGCTCCGCCCAATTGAGAAATACTGGGCTATTGTCAAGCGGAACCTAAAGAAGACCAAAAAAACTGCTAAGGGCGAGCAGCAGTTCAAGGCAAACTGGCTTTCTGCAGCGAAGAAGGTGGACAAGGTGGCTGTACAAAATCTGATGGCAGGGGTCAAGCGTAAGGCCCGGCAATTCGGATTTGGAAAAGCGGAAGCCTAACTGAATATTTTTCCTGAATTTTATACTAATTGAACTTGAAAAAGAAATTTAATTTGATTTTTTAAATAAACGATTTCACCGATTTACACGCGTTTTCCCTTGACCAAATTTTGATCGTATCACCCTTTAAGGGCGCGTTTGTAACGCTCGTCCGGTGTACCCCGGGTCTCTTTGGAAACTGACCGTGGGGTTAGAAATGGTCACTAATGGTTCGGATGGTGTGTCGGGCATATACAGCCTTTGCCAAGAATCTGTACAGAAAGAAACCGCTTCTCCAAATCACTTTACACGCTTACACACCGCTCGGAAAAGATCCACTATTGCCTAACGAAAACTAGCGGGAAAGGATTTTTAAAATGCTGCACTAATTAGAAAACCTCATGTCACTTGTACCTAGAAAATCACACCACGGCGCGAGACTACGGGTGGACCACTCCTGCCTCTTCCACTGATCTGACCAAAGTAAACGAGACAGTCTTGCAAATCCTCAGATTAGCAGCATTATCGCAATCTTCGGCACCGGAAATCAAGCAAATCTAACGAAGTTAGATTTTCGTGATATTCCGAAAATTATCCTCACTCTCCCGTCAATTGCATCTCTCGCTATCCGCATCTCATTTTAACGAACAGCTTTAATCATACAACTGACTGTTCGGCAGCATTTAAGGATAGGAAAGAAAATCGGAAAAAGGTCAACAAATCTTCAAAGGATTTGTACCGGGTTGTACGTACACGCTAACGCAACGATCGAGCAACCTTCCGCCTATTTGCAGCAAAACGGGGATGAATACCACCCAGGCACTCACTACTGAACTAGACTCATTTATTGTTTATTATACCAAGTGGTACACGGTTAGAAAAAAGTCCCCAAAATTAAGTTCTTTTCACTCATCTCGGCACTATAGTGCAGGAACCCAAAAGTAGGTAAAGCGGGTCAAAGTAATTTGCATTTACTTGTGTGCAATTCGTATGGAATTTTCCACTAGCTTTCAATCCGAAAGTTAGTTAGATATACCCAACAGTAGGTAAATATGATTATACTCAACGTTGGGTTCTCACACTTTACTACCCCTATTGGGTAGTTTTGCTCCTCCGTTTTTGACAACATTAGAAGGAGAAAAGGAGACAAACTAGTCAAAAGTAGGTAAAAGTGAACTGGCCGTTGGGTACTTATTTCTTACCGTGTAGGCTACTAATTCACTCTAGAATTCATTGCATAGTAATGGAATTCACACGCATGTTGAAGGGCCGTTCAATAATTATTTATAA